TTTGTTGAGGAAAAGAGTTCTTTATTTTGTTTATGCATTGAGGAACATAGTACAAAATAGTTTGTGGATGGTTCTGATTTTGATTGTTTGGCAATACTTGTTTGATAAGAAGATTGCGAAGGAAACCAATAGTAATGCTGTTAGACTTGTTACTGAGGTTTTAGTTTGTGTTGTGGTGGGTTTGATGTTTTGGCTTGCGAAGACACTATTGGTGACAGTTTTTATATCTTCTTTTTATAAGAGCAAATACTTTGATAAAATCCGGGAGTCTTTATTTAATCAGTATGAGATTGAGGCACTTTCAGAACCACCTAAAATACAAAAAATGGAGGAAGAAGGGAAAGGAATTGAAGGGAGTGGAAAAATGAGGAAAAGTCCACAAGACAAAACCAGTACACTTTTTTGCTTGGCTTCTAGGAAGGGACATAAAAAAAGTTGGGACATAAGCATTGATGAGCTTCACCAAATGAATCCCAAGAATGTTTCTGCTTGGAATATGAAGAGGCTAATGAATGTAATTCAGCATGGTCAACTTTCTACCTTGGACAAGCAGATAAAAGATAGCAAGTCAACTGAAAACGAGGCAAAAAACGCAGCAAAAAGGATATTTGAAAATGTTGCTAAGCGTGGATCTGGGTATGTTTTTTATCTGTTTCTTTTACACTTGTATCCAAAATATATTTTGTGAATGTCTGTTGCATAACTAACGAGTGGTATGGTCAAAGTTGCCTTGAGGTCTTTTTATATTGTATTCATAGAGGTGGTTCTCTATGTTTATTGTAATCTTAACTGTTTTTTTCTTTTGAAAGGCTTGTGATATAACTGTTTTATTAGGCACATTGACTTGGAGGACATCAAGAGATTCATGGGAGAATATGAGGCCCAGAAGACTATGAGTCTCTTTGAAAAAGGATCTGAAAGCAAGGGAATTAGCAAATCAGCAATAAAGAATTGGGTGGTAAGAATATGGCAATTTGAGCCACTAAGTTTGTTTCACTTAATACTTTTATTATGTCATGATAAATGTTTGTGCTTTAACATCTTTAAATGTCTTAGGTTAAGGCTTTTGAAGAACGGAGGGCTCTTTCCAGGACACTAAATGATATTGAGATAGTTGTTGAAACACTTCACTGGGTGGCAAATGTCATTGTCATTATCATCATAGTTGTCATAAGTCGCCTTATACTAGGAAGAATAACTGACAAACTCCTTGTCATGGCTGTCGTTCAAGTTCTTTTGCTTGCTTTGAACTTTGGAGGCCCTTTGTTCTTCATATTTATAACACATCCATATGATGTTGGTGACCATTGTCAAATTGATGGCAATCAGGTAAGTTGATAATCATATGAACTACGTCCTCGTCTAGTCTTCTTTGGTCTTTATGGTCTTACAATATTATGTTTCTCGTATATTTGCGGCCTAAATTGAATGCAATGGATTTCAGATGGTAGTGGAAGAGATTGGCATCTTCAACACTATTTTCTTGGGACATGACAACGAGACAATCATAATCCCAAATAGTGCCCTTGCTAGTAAAACCATCCATAACTTTTATGTAAGCCCTGACATGGGAGATGAAATTGAGTTTTGTGTTCCCATAGCTACTCCTGAGGAAAAGATTAAATCGATGGAAGAAGAGATACTAAGGTAAGTTTGCCTACTTTCTTTTGCTTGCTTGCATGTGGGTTTGTGGGCACTCGTGCAGGTAATTTAAATAAATGGCTGATCTTAATATGATTGCTTTGATGTATCTGTCAGCATATGCAGAGTCCTTATGCGTACATAACACTAAAATTGATTATTTTCTCATAATGCAGTTCAATAAAGAATAATCAGGAACGTTGCCATCGGGAGACAAACCTGGTTCGGAAGGAAATTGAAGGCTTGGATAAGCTGAGGTTTAAAGTCTCTTTCAAACACAAAATGAACTATCAGAACATAGAAGAGAGGGAGAATAGGAGATCACACGTGCTGCGTGAGATTACTAACATTTTAAGGGAATTGGAAATAATTAAGTCGCCTTAGGAATTCAGTGGTTTTTGTATATAATTATAGTTTACATTTCAAATTTAGTTTTGTATTCAGTATGACTATTAATTTCGCAAGCATACGATTATTAGTTATTCATTTGTTCTTCCTTCGATTGTTGCAATTTCTCACTAGTTTGATTGCCATTCGGTTCTTAAAACCATGTTTGATTTCATTATCATCTTTAAGGATTTAATTTCAGTTCTTTTTCTTTTATTGGCATAAATTTCATTTGGTTAAATGTCAAGTTTAAGAGAATTTCATTTTGCTGCAGAGAAATTTTAAAGGCTATTAGAGAAATGCTTCTTCCTTTCAATGTGATTATTTTCTGGAATTGAGCTTAAATATTGCCTGTGTTGGTTAGGGAAGAGATTATAGTAGTATATACCATCAAAGGAACTTTTATATGCCCATGTATTATTGTATTGATGAAAGACTAGTTAGGGGCTTCTTTTGTCTATTAACTTGGTATCGATTTTATCTCTTATATACTGTAAAGTTAGTTGTAAATTTGCTTCTACTACTCCCTTATTATGTCTCTTTTAACATGTTCATGTAAAATTAGTATCACAAGCAAAAAGATGCTTCTTCTGATGTAGAATTTCACAACGTTTTACACGAAGAAGATAAAAGCCTGCCTCAATTGCAGAATAAAAAAGGATATGACTGGAATATATTTTAGATAAAAGGCAAGTTCTTTGCATTGCATAAAAAGCATTCTACGTCTCTCAGGCACACCTAGGGAAATTTCTCTTTATAGTTTGGCAAAACTTTGAATTAAAATTTGTGTATTTACAATCTTGGAAACATTATTTACATTCTATACTTTTTCCAGCATCACCAACAAGCTCCTTGCTCTCCAAATGCCATATAAGGTAGCAGCAATCCTGATTTTACACTTCCACTTCCATGGCCTCTTTTACAAATTTTCAAAATCACATCCATCTATTCGTTTCAACTGAAGAGTACAGAACTCAAATGTATAATTGACTGGAATTAGTATCAAAATCACACATGAAGAGTGCCAACTTCCCTCCATTTCAAAAACTCATCCTTCTGTGTTTTTTCTTTGGTCTTCATCATGAAGGCTAATGAAGGTTGTTCAAAGCCTATGAAAAACTAAATCACGGAATTGAAGTTACAAAATGCACCTACTCTTGAAAGTAAAAAATCAAACCATAAAGGTCATCAAAGCGCTCACCCTACAGGAGACCTTTCTAAGAGTTAATGAAAACAACATGAAGGAGCAAAGTTTTGGACAATTCATATATATTTAAGTTTGCAAATAATAATGAACAACCAATTTCCTACGAACTAAGAAGTAATGAAATGTCAACAACATGCACATTAGATAAATGACTAGCTTGAATATAAACTCGACTACAACATTAAATAAATAGGTCTAGAAAAGCAAAAGAATTACCTCCAAGAAAACATTATTGAATGACAAAACTTCCCT